CGGGTTGGGAGTGATTAGCATCCATGCACTTCCTTGAACATCACACAAATTCCTCAAAATTTAACAACTTCCTTGGGTTAACCACACATAAGATATAATTCTCTGTCTCTCTAATCAAATGGGATAAAATTAGAGCACAGAGAAGTGAGAGGAGAGTAAAAGATTTGAATATCAGAACAAAGGCATAAGAGGAGGGCCAGGCTACAAAAGAAAATGGAATACAGTCTGTATCTGTTTTACCAAACTACTCCACTAACCAAATCTACATTACAATATGTATGCCATCCACTAGACATACCATGACTTATTATCTCCCCTTTCCCCCATCCTAGCAACTCAAAACTCTCTCTCTCTCTCTCTCTCTCTCTCTCCTTTTCCAAGGAAAAAATATCCTTTCCCATAAAATAAAATTTTAAAATGAAATAGAAAAAGGAAAACCCACAAAAGAACTGTGCCAAACTATATATATATATACTCTCTCCTAGACACTAAATCATCACACACTTCTACTCTCACAGCCATGGCAACCTTATCCTTTGTTGCCTTCTCACTATGCCTCCTCTTCTTCTCCTTAGCCCAAGGCCTCAGCAACAACCCCCAATGTAGTGAAGCCAAAGACCAGGGCTCTAACCTTCAAGTCTTCCATGTCTACAGCCCATGCTCTCCTTTCAGACCCACCAAACCAATGTCATGGGAGGAGAGTGTGCTCCAAATGCAGGCCGATGACCAGGCCAGGCTCCAGTTCTTGTCCAGCCTCGTGGCCAAGAAATCGGTTGTTCCAATTGCCTCCGGCAGGCAGATCATTCAGAGCCCTACGTACATTGTGAGGGCCAAGATTGGCACCCCACCTCAGACCTTGCTCTTGGCTGTCGATACTAGCAATGATGCTGCTTGGGTCCCATGTAACGGCTGCGTTGGCTGCGGTTCCAATGTCTTTAATTCTGCCAAATCCACAACCTACAAGACCCTCGGTTGCCAAACTGCTCAGTGCAAGCAGGTAAATCATATTTTGTTCTTTTCTAATTTCTTTAAATTAAACAACCCTTCTCTTTATACTGCAAGTAGACACTTTGACTAATTTCTATAAATTAAACAACCCTTCTCTTTATACTGCAAGTAGACACTTTGACATGTTATGTTCGACAATTAAAATGAAAATCTGGAC